CATTTCACTCGCAGTACTCGAGCTGACTTACCTTTGTTTGAATGACGACTTGTACACGCTGACTCCACAGATAAGGTACAAAAATATGTCCAGTCCTAGGAGGAAGCTGCACAACTGGGAAACTGGCTTGTTGCGCGGACCTGCCATCTAGTGGTGAAACTATCACATTAACTTGTTGTTTTGTGTACCGCTAGCTGATGAGCCATGAAGTAAAACAAGCTGAATTTAATTTGAAACGCATGATGACGTCAAACTTAACAGGACACTGAAATAAAAAGTCTTCCTAGAAATGTTTACATCTAGATAGCCGGCAGTCATCGCTGCTGCACGGACTGCTTAAATCCGGACTGCTGTGGAGCAGGGCTGCTTTAGCAGCCAGCCAAGATGGACACCGCTGAGGAAGGTAGCTAATGCCCAAACTTGATTACCTTAATTATTAGCGCTAAATGGTAAAGTCATTCATGCTGACTTTGCATGTGACCTAACCGGCCCTTAACTGTTGTTGGTAGCAACGACCACGACTCCGTTGTCTTAAACTTCGGCAAGGGTTCTCCAGAAGTAGAGAAACCGCTAGCCAATTAGCGTTAGCCAGCCAGCCAGCTAGCTGGCATTAGCTTACATCCTATAAGCTGTCAGGTCTATGTGGAGCCAGAAATCCTGGAACGCATTACATGGGCACTGGATAGTGGTTACAACGTAGAAATTGTAGAGGGAGTCTAATTCACAGTGAAGCCACACGAAAAATTATCTAATTATGAGTTAACCTTTAGTAAGTTGAGCCATTGAAACCGTTATGGGAGCGTACCGAACAGTATGACATAATAAGCTAGCGGTACGTTGGTAAGGTCTGCAGGTTAGCGCATTTAGGCTACCATTTGGCAAGGCTCATTCACAACTTTGCGAGTTCAACTAAAGAAAAATTGTTATTATGACGAATGCTCTCGACATACTCCAAAAGCCTGCATTTTATAGTATATTTGGACTTCCAGAAAATAAGCCCATTATATTTTCCCTGAGCGAGAATGAAATAGTTTTTAGCCAGTAGCATATATCTGAAGGATATACCATAAATATATATAGCTATGGGTGGTATCCTAACTGGTGTCATGCTCCTACTTCTTGGGCTAATTATAGTCATTTTATTTTTGTCATGCAGTGACACTGATAATCCAAGGATTTACAGTTTGCCCTAGTCTGACCTATACTGTTACAGTCACTTTAAATACGAATCCAATGCACAGACTCAGTCCTGACAACTGTACACTGTTAGCGTTTTGTAGAAAGGTATTAGTAGTTTTGTATTACGGCTCACATGTGTTTATTAGTGTGGCTCAGTGGCTTTGGTAGGGTGTTTTTTTGTTTTGTTTTTTTTTGTTTGTTTGTTTAAAAAAAAAAGAAGAAAAAAGCACTGCCAGACTGTCTTTAGCTATGCAGATTCTTATCACTGTGTGCCTTTTGTACAGCCGATATCTGCCGGGTATGTCGGTCAGAGGGGACCCAGGACAAGCCCCTTTACCACCCTTGTGTTTGCACCGGCAGCATCAAGTTCATCCATCAGGAATGGTATGCGAGTGAGCAAGATGTTCATGTACAAACTTTATGGTTTTCTCTTTTCGCTTGCTTTTCATGGCTTGCAGGTTTTGGTTTTTGGTCACATGGAAGTGCACGTGGTTGTGCAGTCCACAGAAATTACTAGATGTGAATTTCCAATTACATTTGCAAACAGTTGGATTTATCCTGCAGACCTTGTCTTTTTTGGAGGGGGGCAGTCTCACTGTGATGCTGTAAGATCTGCCTTTCATGTGGATGTTGCTTTGGTCATCTATTTAAAAATAAATAAATAAATCTAGAGCTGCCTCTTTCAAAAGGGGTAATTTGCCCTGCCATACTGCAACAGTTTTTCAGGAATGCTTTAAAAGTATGAAAAAAAGGTTTCAGTGTGTTGACTTGGTAAGATTGCGATCTGGGGAATTCTGAGACCAAGGTTAATTAATGTAGGATTTGCTGGAAAAACAAATGTGATCCACAGAGGACCCACCTTGCTTAAGGACTTAAGGATGTGTGCTAACATCTTGTTCCTTGATACCACTGGACATGTTCAGAGACTACTGAGGAAGATTCTTGTGCAATTCTCTGTGAGACATGGGTAAATTCACTGTTTCATTTTGTTTTCACAGCTTACTGCAGTGGCTGAAACACAGTAGAAAAGAATACTGTGAATTATGCAAACACAGGTTTGCATTTACACCAAGTAAGTTGTTTTTATCAAATCATTCAATGTCTTAAGACTGCATTCATTTGTTGTTTAGTGCCTTCAAATGCCCAATTATTGTCTGACAATTTATTTCTGTATTGCTCTTCTCATCAGTCTATTCTCCAGACATGCCATCTCGCCTGCCTGTGCAGGACATCTTTGCAGGGCTGGTCACCAGTATTGGAACAGCCATCAGATACTGGTTCCACTACACACTGGTGGCCTTTGCCTGGCTAGGTGTGGTACCGCTCACAGCATGTAAGCCACATCTTGGAATTGCAACTAACGATTACTTTCATTATTTGTCAGTATATTTAAATAATAATTTTACTCTAAACATAAGAGGATTTAAAAAATGTATTAAGCTTTCCATCACCTGAACATGTCCTAACACACTTCCCAGTGTTTGCATATGAAACCACAGTATCAAATGTGAAACAAAGATTTGGGGAAATTTTATGTTTTAAGTGGAGGTAAAACATTTGAATTGGTTAATTGACTAAACTTACAACCAGTTTAGTATAGTTTAAAAAAAAAAAAAAAAGATGCTTGAAAACAAATAGTTCTCTGGACCCAAAGGGGCTAATGTTTGACTAGCATAAATAAATCACATGTGCTCTAATTAGATGTTTCGGTTCAGCACAGCGTGAAATGTAACACCATAAATGTACAAATTTGAAGCAGTTTGGTTTTAGTTATAAACTAGTTGAGAAGTGATCGCCATGTTGGGGGTTTTGTGTGTGGGGTTTTTTTTGTTGTTGTTGTTGTTGTTTTTTTAAAAAAAATTTATTTATTTTTTTCCCCGTCAATTTTGCTTTCATTCTGTGTTTCCCAACAGGTCGTATCTACAAGTGTTTATTTACCGGCTCTGTGAGCTCTCTCCTTACCCTGCCATTAGATATGCTTTCAACGTAAGTGTCTGCTTTTGGTTTTGTGCCTCCTCTCTCACAAAGTCAAGCTGCGTTTGTTCTGTCGTGTACTTTGTTTTCTTTATGGCTTGCACAGTGTTGCTGTTTAAATCGGTGCGTCCCAACGCTTTTTATTTATTTTGTGTTCTTCTCATGTTCCTCACAGCCCTATCAGAAGAATGCATGGCATGTTTCACATTTCGTCATTTGGATTAGTTTGACCTGAATGTTGTTCATAAAACGTACCCTTTTCTTTTATTTCTCCTCTGTCTCTCAATCAAGCTGAACTACTGTCACTAGCAACTCTGAATAACCCAGAGATCATGGGGAAACTATAAATTTCTGTTCCAGAAAGACTTATGTGTAATTTTCATCCTCCAAATGTGTCCATCTACATGTCCATGAACAGACAGCAAATGTGGAACTGGTTTTGTCCAATGCAAACATTCTGCTCTGCAGTCCTCCAAAATCCCAACAACACAATCCGGTTGTTCAGTGATGACGCGACGAATCCTACTTCCGGGTCTAAAGTTGTCTGCGTTTAATATGGCTTTTGTGTTGTTAACATGTTTAATGTTATGTATTTTCTTCTATTTGATCTCAAAAAGCTCCTAAAACAGTCAGTGATCCCTGTTGACCTCCCTCGGCTTTTATTACCACTAATCATTTATTTAAGCTCAGTTTTTAAAACCTTAGGATGTAACTGCAGCCCAGCCCATGCAGCAGTATATGAATGACTAACCTCGTATTGTGGATGGATTATCTCAGTTGTTCTCCTGGCTGAAGTTTGGTCCTTTTACAGCATCCTGCCATGCGATTACATTTGTTCCTGACCACCGAGAACACTCACGTTAACTTTTATGGAGTGGAAAAAAAGTTAGCTTGTTTATATTATGCTAACATAGCTGTGTCGCTAGCGGTCACGTAGCACATCATTATATACCTGCTATCCCAACTTCAGTAACCCTACAAACGTCACTGCTGTTTAGTTTTCTGTCTTCATTTATGTTGGAAGTGATAACAGAGCTGTACGTTTTAATTTGTTTCCAAAACCCCGCAGTCAGGACATGCTATATTGTATTTAGATAGAAGCTAGCGAGCTAACTCCCTGCTAACTTCTAACTCCGTTAAATGGCATAAATTCCGTTTTCATGGATGCCTGGATGTTAAACTCAATTGTTACACCTGGTAGAGCAGAACGCTGATCATTTTATTAAAGATGAAAGACTTTAGACAGTTTTTCAACTCTCAGTAATGCCATAGTGATCGTTGGACCTGAACGGACTTTAGACCCAGACACGGCTAGTGACGTCAGACTGAACAATCGGATATCTCGTCAGTGACGGTCAAATGTTTCTTTGTAATGGTTGCAAAATCTCATTAGTGGCAGAAATAGTGTTACTTAAATAATCTGAATGTTTTTTGAAAATTGATGCCATGTCTCCTTCTCACAGGCAAAACCTGCTTGCTGACTGCCTCCAAGGCTGTTTTGTGGTCACATGCACACTATGTGCCTTCATCAGCCTGGTGTGGCTCAGAGAGCAGATTGTGCATGGAGGCGCTCCTCAGTGGTTAGAGCAAAATCAACCCCCACTGGTTCCTAATCAGCCCAACGGCCCTGCACCAGCTAATCAGGTGAGTTTTGTTTGTTTTTGTTTTAATTTATTTTTTCATCCTCTTTAAATCAGAGCAAGAGTGGGGCTGATAAAGACTTCCTAAATTCTGTTAGTTTCCTGCTACAGTTTACCATTACTCTGACATGGTTGGCATAGCAACAGACTCATATCTGTAAAAGTTTGCTAGTTAACGCTCAAAACAGTTTCTAGTTAAAATCATACATTTTATAATCTCTGACAGCAGCAGACAGATTTGGCCAGAGGTGTTGTGTTTTCGGGTTGTACATGTGTCGCATTCTAACACAGCAGCCCGTTAATGATGTTCAAAGCTCCCTGTGAATATTTAATGTGATAACGATGGAGTGATGAATTACATTTTGCATCCCAAACATTAGTGGTCACATCTGGACAATGTGGATATAAACTCCATAGTGACCCCAAGACAGGAGTTTGATTAAAATACTTTCTGTTTTTCAAATACTGAGCTTACTTAAGCACAAAATTACTTTATTAACTTTTAGCAGGTTTTATTAATGAACTGTCATGTCTTTCATTATATTCACAGGGTGTGGGCGGTAACGCTGCAGCCAATGCTCAGGATCCTGCAGATGCTGAAGCTGCCCAGAATCCTGCAGAGCTTGGTCCAGATGGGCTGGCGCCTGCTAACGTGCATGTAGCTGGCAACCATGATGAGGCAGAACTGGATGATGATGAAGACGATGATGATGATGATGAAGGGGAGGATGATGACGAGGAAGAAGAGGATGATGAAGGGAGGGAGGAAGATGCTGCCGATGCCAATGAAGGAGGACAAGGTAGGCGAGCATTTTTCGGGAACATTATCTTTAATGTGTTTGTTTTAAACACTTGCTGTTCTGCTGTGGCACCGTTACTATTTCTTGACAGATGAGTGATTCTGGACGTTTGTGGCTTTGAATCAGTAATGTTTGAAAAGCCTTCAGCACGACGTGTACTAAGTCTTACAAAGTCCTTGGAAGGCCTTTGGGTTAGGGTTATTTTTTTTTTTGTTTTGTTTTATTGTTGTTGTTTTTTGTAAGCTCTTATCTAAATAAATGGAGAGAGCCTCAGTATTGATTTTTGTGGTCACAGGGACATAAAAGCCGCAGGCTAGATCTAATAAAACCAGCTTTAGATATTTGTCTTTGCCCTAAAGCTTCAAAATGGGTTTCTGTTTTGTTTTTTCTTTGCAGGTTATACTTCTGATACAGATCCTCACAGCTTCAGTAACCACTAAATCGAGAGTGTCAGCAAATTCAGCATCTCTGCACTGAATAAATGCAAAGCTAATTTGCATTAGTTACAGTAAACTAGGAAAGTTTTAAAAATGTATTTGTTTACATGTTAACTACAATGGGGACTTGATGTGCCAACCTCTACTGTACATGTGTGTCAGAGAAACAACATGATTGGCTGTTTCCTTTTTCAGCTGCATGTTTGCTCTTTGAGGACAAGTCGGCACTTTTACTACTTCTCCAGCTGAATTCTGTTCAGTATCCTGAGTGCCTCGTAGCCACCTTTTTATCTTCATCATATTTTTAATACATGATGTGTCTGGACTACCTTAACTACACATGATGATGCACACTGGAGGGGTTTCCAAAAGCGTCTGGGTATGACTTTAAAGATAAAGTCCAGCCCTTCAGTACTATGTACTTGTGTAATAAGGGAAGGAAGAGGGTTCACTGCTGCTGTTGTTGTTTCTTAGTGTTTCTCTGGTCTGTGTTCTCCTTTGCAGAAGATTTGAACTGGAATGCACTGGAGTGGGACCGTGCAGCAGAGGAGCTGACCTGGGAGAGGGTAGGAATCTATTTTTCTTCTCTTTTCTGCTCTGTAAAGCCACGTGACTGAAACTACACCTGTTAAGGGCTGTTTTTTTTTT